AAGTTATAGTTTTTAGAGTATAAATAAACCCATGTCCTGTTTTGAGTTAAAAAATAAATGGTCAGTTTAGTCTTTTTAGTTAAATTTAGTTTTAAAAATTTTTAGTTAATAGTAAAAAGTAGGTATATTAGTACCTACTTAGATACTTTTTACCGAATTATAAGTATAGAACACCTTATGTACTCAATTATTTTTTGAAAAAGAAGAAAAAACAAGCAATAAATAATATACTATATTTTAGCAAATAACTATAACTTAGTAATACTAATTATAATTATAACTTAGAACATAAATGAAAAACTCATAACTGACTTTTGGGCCCGACCCAGGATTCGAACCCGGGACCTCACGATCAGCAGTCGCACTACTACAACCACTAGACCAACGAGGCAGCATTATACTTAATAAGATATTGTGGTTGGGTGATAATATTGAATTAGCCTTTTATAGTGTAAATTATAATATTTGTCGAAATTTTAATTATGGATTCGAACCTTACATGCTAATAGTGCTTCAGTTTTTTATTTGCATTTACTTCAAAGAAAATACACGCAAAAAGCTTCATCGCGCAGTAAAAAACACAACAAATATACAAAGTGACGATGAAGTTATCACGTTAAATGAAAAGACGTATTCTATACAAAGTTCTTTAAACATACACAACTAAAAAAAATATATAACAATTAACATTCTGGGCGCGGTAGCCTTTTTTTTTGTTTTAATATTAAACAACATCATGTAAATGCATCAGATATCACCTGATAAATACTAGAAGTTCAAAGACCCATGGCCCGTGAAGGCCAAGAGACCTATATTGTATTATAGTGCAACGTTGCCAATTTTAAATAATCAAATTAAGTAATAAATTAAGCAAAAAATGTACTTATATGTAACAAAATAAGGCATAATTCTTATGCGCGATGCGACAAGAATTGGGACGGGGTGTTGGGAGGGTGGGATGTGGTCGATTGGCGCGTGCGACGATAAAGTAAGACAGTAAGTCACTTAGTCCGACGCCGGCGTCCTTGGGAACGGTTCATTAATCGCTTGACCTAATTTTAGTTTTTCGCGTACACGTCCTTTTAATTTAAAGTTTTTTTTTGTGGATATTTTCATAAGTTTCTTGATTTGTTTGTGATAGGACACGTTAATACTATAATAATAATTGTGTTGAGGAGGTGGTGTGACTATTTGTGCGAAATTTGACGCTTTCTTTTACTGTCTTGTATTTTTTATTTGTGATAGGACTCGTTAATAATAGATAAGTGATATTTAATAACTTAGTGGTGTGTCAGCCCGTGCGCAATTGGACGCTTTTATTTTTTAAGAATAATGCGGGCTTTCGACAAAATAAAAAATTTTGCAGCCAATGGTGCCCTCTTTCGAAAAGTCCTAAATAATATCATGCGACGATGTCAATTATGCATTCGGGTACACGGCGGACATTTTGAAAATTTAAAAATTTGATTTGTTTCATAAACTTGAGTGATTTCAAGGTTAAAGTGATTATTTGGATAAAAAAATACCATGAAATTTGTGATTTGTTGATAACATCGGATTAGCATCGCCCTACGCGTGCCTAATTACCTATGTATGGGCAAGTCCTAGGACCTAGGTATTATAATATAATTACCTATATCGATGTCGCATGAGCAATGAACCGCTGGCCGCGACGTTGCCGCTTCTACAAGTCATTTCAGGTCAGTTAAGTAATATTATCAAGGATGATTTATTTTATGTGATTTTTTACCCTATTTATTTTGTTTGAAAGATGCATTTTTTATTAGTTTTTATTATTGTTTATTTTATTATTTTAACAGACATATATCAACTTGTATTAACTGTTGTGCTATTTAACGTGATAACCTGGGCGCCACCCAGTATGTATAACTAATACGAAAAATTATACCCAAAACAAACAAATAATACTACCTATAAATAACCTAATAAGTAATATTACTATCGACTAATATGACGTGAGTTGCGCTGGTCGACGCTCTAACGACACGGGCTTCGCGTCGAAGAGCTCAGGGCTCACTGACTTCAGCAAGCCCGTGAGCAGTGAATATGCCCAGATTTTAAAATAATTTCTTAATAAAATCAAATTTTGGTCTTTTGAAAAAAAATTTACTATAGAAATGTTTATTAATAAATTGCCTATCCATTGGTGTAAATCGCAAAATAAAATAATACTTATTTTACGAGGAGATGCATGTTATCAATAATAATTTCACATTTATGTGGTTTCGTTGTAAGGAGATTATATTAATATTTATTCGTTTAAATAAAAAATGGATATAGCTTTTATGGAATCAAGATTATGTAGAAATATAATGTGTTTTTTATTTATTGATATATGTTTTAAATAAAAAGTAGATAGCTCCTAAAAACCACACAAATAACGACTAGCGCGACATTTTGCTCAACCTGCGCCTTAAGCATTGTTTATATGTAGATTTAGTGCAATCGTGAGTCAATATGACTCCACGTTAAGTGATTTGTAACATTTTGAACCTAACCAGCCGAATGTTTTTTCGATTGTTTTAGTTTATTTTGATAATATGTATTTGTTTTTGGTTTTATAGTTGAACCAGATATGATTCGATTTTACAATCAAACAAAGGGAGCAGTTGATTCGTTCGACCAAATGTGCTCGCGGATGAAATGCAGTAGGAAGACAAATAGATAGCCTATGACGTTATTCTACGGCATGATGAATACTCAGATGAAGTAAAAAAAGTTTTTTACTTCATCTGAGGATGAATATGGCTTTTGTCAACAGCTACGTCATTTATTGCCACAACATTCTTTTCAAAAAGGAAAAATCCACCCATAAATAGACGGACGTTTATGAAACAGTTAAGCAGTGACTTAGCAAGCCATGGATGGAAAAAAGGCTTGAAATTTCTAATCTGATTCGCAAATTACTCGAAAACATACAAAGTATATTACCGAATTCTCCTGCCGCGAACTTACCACGTGATAATGAATCTGCTACAAAGAGAATACTTCGCCTTCTATCCGTGGAAACTAAGAAGAAAGACGCAGGGAGAGTGCAAAAAATGTAAAAAACCTGTCTGTGGAGAGTATAAAGTTTTGACTTGTTTAGACTGTATGTAGTTCCGATTGTGGGACTGATATGTTAATATTTTGATTTTCTTATGTTTTATTTTTATTAATGTTTATAATTTTTTTTTTCATTTGTGCTAGATACGTGATTTTTACCCAAAGGAAATGAAATACTCGTTTTAAGTTTCATTATTCCAAAGAATTCCAGTTTTTGGTTTGTTTTTAAGTAAAATATGAATAATACAACTTAATAGTTATTTTTATTTCATTTCTTAGACTGGTGTAGAAATATTATTCCATAGAATAAATTACAATATTAAATAACAATAGCGCAATCGGGTCAAAAACAGTTGTGAGTCATATAGACCTCACGTTATGCTGTCAGGGGTATCAAAGAACGTTATGTATCTAGGGTTAAGTTTGAATAGTAGAAAAAGTTCAATATTTTGTAATAAAATCGTTAAAAATCGATATTCGGGCGCTTACTTCGGCTGAAAATAATGTAAGAATCGTAGTTCTTCAAAAAGTCTAGACCAAAAGTCCGCGCTAGCATTATAATGTCTATCGCCTAATGTCCTCGCCTTTGACTCACAGTAACCAGTTTTATTTATATTAAAAATATTTACTTATTTGCGAAAATGTTTTCTCTAAATCAGTATTAATGTTTATCTTAATAAAATTCATCTAATCAAAATGATCCCTTTGAAATTATATCATTCAAATGAATACTTTAGAAGATATCACAGATTTAAAATTACGTGTTAACTATTATTTATTCTGTGGTGCAACCAAAAAAAGACGGTCTAGCCGGCACGCCGCGCCGGCACGACTCCGCCGCGGCCTCCTTCGTTGTCAGCACATGAAAACTGGGATTTTGTAGTTGTTGCTCAAAGGGCACATGCAATAAGACGATGGAAGAATTAATCTTGACATCGAAAATCCTTTTGTTTTAAAAGATGACAAAGACAGTTTATCCCAATATAACCATTATAATTTTCAGTGACGACTGACGGTCAGCAAATCACAAGGTCAAACATTCAACGTTTCGAGCTTAGACCAGAGCAATGTGTGTTTTTCTCATGAACAGCTATCAGACAAAATTTGTTCGTATTATGTAATGTTACTGTGACCCATAGTCATCCACATCTATCCTTAATAAAGAATCATAATGCAGATGCGTTGTCACCCGTGAGGAGTAAGATGGAATGCCTCTTTTGCAGTAAAAACGGTCTCCGGTTCTCTACACTCACCATACGAAACACAGTGTTAAGCTGCTATTTTACGCTGGTATTCTGTGAGAGTGTGGTCCTTCCCCGGTCGAGCCGACCCATTCGTGCTACAACTATACTACAATACAAGTAACAAACTGCAGATGTGTACAGTGTGAAGAACTTAACACAATGTGAAGAAGCTCGCACGTCTCCAACTAGCTTTGGTCAGCCGCTTGTCCTCGCTGCTCCTGCACAACGCGCGACCACATACTGCACAACAGACGGTCTCGAAGTTACAAGAGCTTGGAAGCTGTCCACCTTGCGCCTACAGACTTCTACTTTTTCCACAATTTGGATAACTTTTTGACAGGAAAAAAATTCATACATAGAGGCAGTACAAAATGCCTTTGAAGAATTTGTCTCCCGTCGAGGTGATTTCTTCAAGAAGGGCATCAATAAACTGCCACTGCATTAGCAATGATGCGTCGATTGCATGAGTGATTACTTTAATAGAAATAAAAAAAAAATATAGAAACAGTTACGTTAACTTATTTCATAAAAAACGGCAATTTTATAGGTAAAGACCTAATACATTTAATTATTCTCATTAAATATAGATTATTTAGTTTAAACTGCACTAAACATTGCCGTAAATAGCTTCTTCGGCCTTGGCAGGATGCTGCACCTGAATCAAGTAGGAATTTAAGAAAAAACAAGTTCAATGGAAGGAACCTTTATTTACTGAAAAACAACTAACAACACTAAGATTCCCGTCAATAGCTTTTTCAATAAACGCCAATATTTTTTTATTTATTTATGTTTTAATATATATTATCTAAGTTCCGCTTTTACAACACTATTCAGATTGCAATAAATCTTTGTGTTACAAATTCATACAGAGCGACACAATAGTAGCTTACATTACATAATTTACCTTACTGTAAGTTATAGGTATAATGTAAAATTTATTTTCTAATGGAATACATAAATCGAAGCTATAGCTCGAGTGATGGTCGCATGAGAAAATTATACAAATGATAACGATTATAGGTGTAGGTACTCATCAAATGACCAGCGATATATATATATGTACTACGCACTAGATTTCACATTCAGAACATTCACTATGTTCAACTGAACCTGGGCGTAAATAACAATTCAGTAGCCAAATGAGTAAAATTTTTTGTTGTTCAAGTGAATAAATAGGTAATAATATCGTAATATTATAATAGAAAAAATATTCCATCTACCGCACATGCGCGAAGACAGAGTAGCGCACATTTTTTGTTTGGAATAGCTTCTCCAGTACGTAGTACAATATAACTCAATGCAAATGACATTTCAATTCATGATATAAGTACAAATTCTGTGCAAGAACCAAAGCAAATATTTGAATTAGTTTATACATAAAAAGTCTTTGCTTGCTCTCTTGGTCATATATGTACTCGTACATATATGGAACGCCTATCTTACATTTGTAAGAAACCACGTTACGTGTTAGTACATCCGTAATAGTGTTCACACGTGGAGTAAATGGTTAGTGTTTCGTTAATTAATCAATATTTTTTAGCTGCATCATAATCAGATTAATGTGACTGGAATATGATTATAATATCCTAAACATTCAGGTTTCTGAGCTCCAAGTCTCAGTCTCTCGAGTCAAATAATTAATTTACTAACTAATGTAGCCCGGTGGCCAAGTGTAAATAATGACACTATTTCAAAATATCACTAGACCTGTCATTCAATCATTCATTATCATGTGTTGCTGATCTTTCGTTTCGTAGTTTTTAATAATGTAAAAATTTCAAAAGTTTTGATAAGTGACACATACATGTAACTTTATATTTTTTTCGTTACAAGTTTTAAGTTGAAATAAGAAAAATCCCTCCACAAAGGAAGAAAACCGCATCTATCCTTTGCAATATTGTACGTATGTGTAGCGTTGCAGGGTTTGATAAGAGATAAGTAGTAGTAGATTGAAGTAGTTTAAGGAACTATTTTCTCTTCTGGAAAGATATCAGTCCAGTCCGAGGTGTCAAAGATTCAGGCAGTTCCACATGTCCTGTACGAGACCAAGCGAGCGAACGAATTTTATATCGATCCGGCTTCTCTAAAGCCCGCTTTTCACTATGGGATATAATATAATATATATTACATCTCGAGATATAAATTAATATCGCTCACCATACATTTCATATGGAACCGTTTACACTGCTATAATATATATTACATCTCAAGCTATAAATATTTTTTCGATCGACCGAGCGATATTTTCATATTATATCTCGCCCCCTGTACCCCGCACACCATTCCGCGCCCCCGCAGAACGGTGTACGGGGTAAAGGGGGGTAATCCAATAACCAATGACGAACGCACACTGGTTAAAAGATATATCTCACAGTGTGAAAGCCAATCGCGTGATATAATATATTATATCCCATAGTGAAAAGCCAGCCTAAAAACAACAGAGCTAGTACGAAATATCGCACGAGTGAATGAAAGTTTTGTAAATATTATAGTCATACTTATAACCAACAAATTTAAAAACTTGTTCAAAAAGTTGTTTTCATTTATTATTAAATATCTCTTTAATATTGTGTTTTACACACTGCATTTAAAGCACCTACTTATTCTAGATCTTGGTTGACAGTCCTAAGCCTGAAGTTTACCTTCATACTTGAAACTGATAGTTTTTTCTAACTAAGAAACTATTATGCTATTCCTGCACACACTCTCCGAAATTTACTCTGTAGAACACCGAAAGTTTGGCTACTTTAGGCTGTAATCTAAACTAGTATGATTGGCTTTAACCAGATTTAGGTTACCAATAGGCATCTTAGCGCGCCTGTGCAAAAGCTGCTAGATAGTTTTTTGCAGCAACAGCTCATGCACTAACGGACTTGCGCGTTTTATATATAGCAAGTAATTGTCCTGGCGTAAAGACCCCCCGCACCTTGGCCTGAACATTTTTGATAGGATCTGCACGACTGCCTTTTTTTGGGCACAGGCTGCACATTGGAAAGCTTTCATGATTTGGGTACCTACTATGAGATGTCCTATATGAGATGAGAACTATAGCTGGTATACCATCTGGTCCACTCGTTTTGTTTACGCCTAGAAGTCTCGCAAAGTTTTAAGAACTATTTGGTAGTGATGCAGGACTCCGAAAAGAGGTGTACCGCATAGTGTAAGCTGAGGATTGAGGTGACATAAGTGAGGTGGTCGAGACGTGAATTTCATTAGTGAACTAGTCCGTTTCTTCTTTAACCGTATGCGCCAATGTGTCATCCGGTTTAACCGGTAGAAATGCGACCGACCATAAAGCTCTACTGCTTTATGTTTTGTGTTCTCGAGTCATAACTCAAGATAGGTACCTACGCCGCATGGATAGGACGCAAAAAACGTAGCACATCTCATCCTAATTCGCTAACTTATACCGCTATTTACTTCCAACACCTCGGGAATCATAACCGGGTGGGGAATATGAAGATACAGATAATTTCATGAGGCATTGATCAAATTCACCCAAAAAGGAGGTAAACTGTAAATCGAACCCGTCTGGTTCAGTGGTTAGCAGAAGGTCCCAGGCAATAGGCTGTGTCTATTTAGGCCTCGTTATTTCAGGCCTTTAAGTCGTCCAAAAAAAACCAGCTATGATTTAGAAACACATCAGCAGCCTCACGTAGATATTTAAATAACCGAATTGCCTCCTGGTCACTGCATAGAGGATTTTATCAATACACTTTTTTATACCTTGTTTGCTTTACACACGTTAAACTGAAATATACGATCTTGTAATGACATTCGATGCGGAGAGTATACTAAACAAAACAAAAATTAAAAGAAAATCGCGTATATAAATGGGCTGCAGTCATATTTTTCAAGCGAGTATGAATTTTAAGACGTGGCAGCTTACAATTACAATTTTAATGCCGACTTACCTCTTGCGTGACGAATATTAAAAACATCGTGAGGAAACTGGCATGTCCAAGGAATAAAATATGAGGACATATCCGACTACATGTTAAGAATCAGCGCGGACTAATCAGTTCATCCACCACTTTTTCTGCCACCAGGGCGGATTAGGATTGAGGTGAAATTTTTGAAAACGTGTAAAAAATGAAAGAAAACATTGTTTTGTGTATATACAAGAATAGAAATAGAAAACTTGTATTTAAAACAAATTTTCAATGAATATTCCACTATGTGACACCATCTGCGAAACAGTTCAACAAGCTTACCTTAGTCCCAACTAGCGACATCTGCTTAGCGTAATATTATTAGCCCCCATTGCACCATACCCCTCTCAGAACTCAGAGACCATAAGTAGGATGTACCTATATAGGTTGTAGTTAAAGTAAGTTTCTTTTATAAATAAGCACACAGTTTACCTGATGGTAAGTGGATGCTGTGGCCCATAGACATCTTCAATTAAGAATCAAAATGCAGATGTGCTGTCACCCCTGAAAACTACGAATGCGGGTCAAAAAGTTCGCGGAATGGAGGAGTTAGAAAGAGGGGCGATTTTTTTTAACTGTTACTACTTAGTGACTAATACAACTATAAATACCTACTAATAGTCTGAGAGCTGGCGACGAATTTTGAAAAGGTCCTTTTGGCAATTTGAAATTGTGAAAAAATATCAATTGACGCATTCAGTCTTACGAGTCTAGCAGAGCGTTTGCAGTTATTTCGTTACGGCGCAGCATATACATTTGCAAAAAAAAATATAAAAATAATGTCTTTTGGCAACTTGATTTCTTCTTTATCTTTTAATCTAATTTCTATATAATTCAAAAAAAAGTCACTAAGCAAGGGAAAACGCCACATATCATTATGTAAGAGATGTCATCTAAGTATTAAAGAGGACTCTTGCATTAAAAAACGATGATTTATAAGAGGCCTAGCCTTTTCAAGCAAGGCAGACTCAATTAAAGACGATCAGCGCTCATACCGATCGATTGAGGCAACTCGTAAGTTGGAATGTCTCGTGTTCAGCAAAAAGTGTCTCCAGTTCTCTAATAATGTCCTCCAGCAGACCGAACTTCGATTACTGCGGCCAGGCACAACGGAGGCTAGCCATCGACGCAGGATTATAGTGACCAAGTGTATGCGCAGGCACAAATGCACGCTCTATTCCATTACTCTCAAGTCCGATGGGAGTGGGACGGTAAACCACCACGACCGGAGGGAGATCAGGTGCAGGACCAACGGCTTTACGTGCTTTCCGAGGAACCGGTGTAAGACACCGCCAACTTCCTGACTCCGGGCAGCTACTGAGAATTTCTTGACGGAAAAACCCAATAACTGATTTTTGCACGACCCGGGATTAGAACCCGGGACCTCATGATCAGCCGTCGCACTACTACAACCATTACACCAACGAATTTGTCAGTTCTCTACACTTATACACACAATACGAAAGACAGCAGCATTATCTAGTATAACTGTATAATGCAAAAACCTTAACAAATCCGCAAACGTGTGTACCTCTCAGATATGAAAGAAAAGCGATAGATACACATTTGTGACTTTGTTTAAGAGCAGGTTTGTGTAAGACTAAGAACAGGTACCGCTACGTACTTCTAACGCGTGTTTGCAGATATTAAACAATATGTCCTCAAATTTATTAGACATGCACTTTTTCTCACGTTTTATATTATACACATCACGTGGTAAATCAGGCTTTAAAATTGCCATTAATAAAAATGAAATGACTAGATTTGTAGACGCTATCAAGTCATCATTAAACATAGAAATTTCTACTTTGACGTTCTATAGTATTATCTATTTCTTATGAAAGGAATATATATAAAATTTAGGAAAAAAATAACAGGGACTTTTTCCCTAAATGATATATTTGTTTATTTATCCTTATCATACTTGTCAATTGGTTAAATGCCATTATTGGTTGACATGTATATATATATATATATATTTCATAAGTATTAACTAAATTTCACAGTCTTCATTACAAAATAATCATTTTAAATAGTGGAAGAGGATCCCAATACATATAGGTATAGTAACTATAGGAAGCAACTGAGGGTAACTTTAAAAGTAACCTAAATAATTTATTTTTGGCGTCTTCTAAAATACATTATACAAGTCAAAAGTAAGCTAATAATATCACAACATATATATGTAAATTAAGTAGCTTCATCTTTAGGATACCTGAAAAAAAAAAAGAAATCATGTCGTTACACATAATGGTACACATTCACACGATAAAACAGCAATAGAAACGACAAGGATTTTTAACAATTTGTTGAATTTTAAATAATAAAAAATACTAGCTTTACTAAAATTGATTGCAAGGAGGAATATCGACCATTACCGCTATATCGAAATGTGAACCTCGCCTGTACACGATGCACCCCGTTAAATTACGAATATGGCTATGGTGAACCTCAAGATATTTAATTTGAAAGTTTTTTTTCGTCGATTTTAAATCATCAAAAGAGTATGATAGTCCTTGTTGTTTTTAGTAGTATAGAATCTTTAAAAATCTTTTTTGTAGGACTAATAACTTTTGATATTATTGTTACTATACCTTTTAATTCTAATTGGCTTTCTTTGGCGTCTCCGGAGCAGAGTCCTTAGTAGGCTAAAAAAAAATTGTTAACATTTTACACATTCGCAAAAATTTAAGTACGATGGTGTTAAAAAAGATGGTGTTGAAACGAACCTCAAAATATCGATGATATAATACTACACCATATACACAACCTATTGAGACTAGAATTTGAATGACTAGCCATACAATGACGTTACACATTTGAGCTTGTCCGAAGAGATCTTTGCCATTTTTAATGCATAACATGGACTCTGTTACCATTATCGCGCCATAAACCCAGCATTGGGTACCGACCCTCTTGCACCTGGGATCTGTTACATATGTATAATACTGCCTAAAAAATAACACATTACTTAAAATATTTTAATACCACATGTCATATAAAAATTTCTTGAGTACATAACTATTGGCGCAAATAAATTCTAGTTTAAAAGCGGCAAATAATGTATGAATAGATAAATATATCACATATAATGTCTTTTTTTATAGAATAAGGTTGACAAACGAGCACAATGTCCTCAAGGTAAGTGAATACTGCGGCCCATATACATTCACATTTATCCTTACAGAGGATTATCAAGAATCATAATGCAGGTTATGTATAATGATGATGACTAATGACTAAGACCTAATGACTAAGATGAAATGCCTCGTACTTATTGTTATCATGTTTTAACATTTTTTTTATGGAATAGATTGACAAACGAGCACACAGTCCACCTACATTTATCCTCAATTAAGTATCAAAAATGCAGATGCCTTGTCACACCTGAGGACTGAGATGGAATGCCTCATTTCCAGTAAAAAAAGGTCTCCGATTCTCTACACTCACCATATGAAACACAGCACGTAAAGACGAAAACAAGTTAAGAAAGGAACAAAAGGCACAATTAGAACATCAAGATTTAATGACTTTCTTTTCTGCTTCAGATGACTTCAATGTTATATTAAACATTTTGACGCTATATATATACTATATCTATACTATAACTTAGACGTAACATAAGGCTTTTTATAATAAAAAGAGCCTTTGAATTTACACAGGTCTAATCTATTCTATATTTTTAGTATGCATGCGAGAAAATAACATAAATTCAACAAAATTCTATCATAAGATAGTACCTTGTTATTGTGAAATACGTAGTTAGGGCAGTGTTGTAATGAAAAATATAGGTGAATAAAATGATTACACTGACACTTTAAATTAACTTAAAAATAAATGTTTTGTAAAAAAGAAGTTGTTATTAAATGTTTTACACAATTAAGTGGGCTATATAGTTTTAAATAGAGCTTCAAAGTACTTAAGATCAATCTTGAGAAGCCATTACATCATGACTTGAATTTGAAAGGTTGGGTTCAGTCAAATCATGTAGAATTAAGCCAATTATTTTATTTTCTGGTGCTACTTTCAAGGCGTTTGATAAGAGCCTATTATTCAGTCGTATTTGGCTTGCCTTATAAAATACTGGTATGTAGCACAGTAAATTTCAGAGAGCAGTTTGTAGATTTGCATAATCAAGTTTTTTGGAACGACTTGCGTAGCCAAGGACAAAGAGTTTGGTAGTAACTATACCAAAAGGATTTAAGCGTTGAAATTATTAAACCGGGGAGTAGAATTTTGCAGTGTTAATACCATGTCTATGTGGGATTGGACACTGTAAAATACCTAAAATCCTGAATGGTCCAGGAGTAGAATCATCATTATCATTATTATTACAGCCCTTCAAAGTCCACTGCTTAACGTAGGCCTCCCCCAAGGAATGCCACAAAGCACGGTCCTGAGCCACCTGCACCCATCGACTTCCTGCATATCTTACCAGGTCGTCACTCCATCTAGTGGGGGGACGCCCAACACTGCGCTGGCCGGCACGAGGCTGCCACTCGAGAACATCGGTTTTCGGTTCTTCGAGCTATATGGCCAGCCCATTGCCACTTCAGCTTACTAATCCGTTGGGCTATGTCGGTCACTCTGGTTCTACTGCGGATATCCTCATTTCTGAGTTTATCACGCAGAGAAACTCCGAGCATAGCGCTCTCCATAGCTCGCTGAGCGACCTTGAGCTTCCTCATCCGGCTAGCAGTGAAGGACCACGTCTCAGTTCCGTATGTCATCACTGGCAACACGCACTGGTTGTACAGTCTCGTTTTCAAGTTTTGAGGTATACCTGACGAGAAGATGTGCCGTAATTTCCTGAACGCTGCCCAACCGAATTGATCCGTCGACTGACCTCTCGGTCGAAGTTGGACTTACCTAGTCGGACTACTTGTCCCAGGTAAACATACTCGTCAACACTTTTGAGTGTAGTGGTCCCAACAACTACCGGCATAGCATGGACGTTACACATAGCCTTTGTTTTGTCCGTGTTCATCTTAAGATCTATCCGTTGAGAGACGCTATTGAGGTCATTGAGCATAGTGCTTAGGTCTGCACCATATTAACTATAACGTCGGCAAATCCAAGGTGAGTGATGTACTCGCCATTGATGTTAATACCATATCCTTTCCAGTCTAGTAACTTGAAAACGTCTTACAATGCAGCGGCGAAGAGTTTCGGGGATATACGTCATCCTGTCTTACAACTCTCTGCAGTTGGCTAAGTATCGTAATCTTGTCGTGTACTCGGATAGCCATCGTAGGGCCGACTCCGTCAACTTGGCACCGCTGAAGAGACTAGCACAACCTAAATTTCGACGGAATATAGTAATCATAATCCACATAAGCAAGTAAGTGGCAGAATGTACTTTTCGGTCTTCTGTACAATTTTCCGAAGGGTATGTATGTGGTCTTTGGTACTAAAGCCTTTTCGGAAGCCGCCTTGTTCGTGATGCTGGAAGTCGTTGAGGTATGCAAGCGAGACGATTCCGGAATAGTGTCGGATAAAACTTGCTCTTGGATCGTTACTTGAAGATAGCTCCAACGATGACGTGTACAGCTGCCTGTAGAGCCACTCAATCTCACCCAAAATCTCCTGTGTCTAGGAAACGATGCTACCACATTCGGTCTTCAGATTCGACAGTTGGCTCTTTCTGGCAGACAGATCTCTGACAAAGACTTGCCTTGTCATGATAAAGCTTTGGTTCCACTCGATAACTTTTTCAATCCGAGCTGTATTCTGGGTCTGTAGTTTTTGGAGTAATTTTTGAACCTTTCATATTTACAGGTAATACTTTTGTCATCTTTAGTTCTTTAGAGAAAATACCCTTTTCGTAACATTTACTGTAAAAATCGCTAATGGTGTTCTTAAAGAGTCGGTATTTTTCTTAATGACTATATTCAGCAGTGGACTTTTACAGGCTGTAATGGATAGATGAAAATAAAAGAAACTATAAATTGTCTTTTGTGTTGTACTTGAGTGTAACTGCGAAACCTCTCACAGCTAACTTCTCTTAAGGTGTATATATTAAGTTTGGCGCAAAATACATTAATGTCACTTTTAAAACATACTATAAATATATGAATTTTTAATGAAGACCAATAGTATAACTTTAAACAGCTACATTATTAAACGCTAATTGATTATTCATTTGTTAGTAAAATTAATGTTCATATCTAATATAATATATAATGAAATTAAGTTAATATAAATCCATTATCGTTAATAAAACCTTACCTGACGGATGGAGCAACAATAACTCCTATGAGACACAAACGTGCGATTACAAGAGGATGTGACGGCGGCATTTCGAAAATGTGTTTCAGGAAAAATGTATTTAGTTCAGAAATTTGCCAAAATACAACTAGTTGGCTTAGAGCAAAGAATCTCATGTATGTGCAATTAGGGTCCAACCATCTAACTGGGGTCCAATGAACAGGAGTAAATTGAAGTATTGCTCTTTTAATCTTTCCAGTAGTTGATGAAATATCCCTGAAAATTATGTTTTAATATAAAAAGAGCCATAAAATAAATATTTGCTTTAAAAGGTAAACTAGTTTACACATTAGTCCATAAATTATTATCTTTAGTTGTTATTTGTGTATTTCTTGTAGGAGCCATAATATGTTCAACAACGCATTTATAATGGGCAATAATGATGGTGGTGGTGGTGGTGGTAGTGGTGATGATATAATAGCTTTTGAGTCTGTTAGTGATCGCGTAACTTTTAAAAACCTTGACTGATTGGGGTCATATTCACACAAGAGGTATATTTGTTCTGTCAGGTCGGATTAAAAATTAGCATAAACATTTATTTCCTTTGTGCGTTACCTACATTAAATTTTAAAAAGAAATACCTTACCTATACATAAGATTGTGATTTGATCAAGCTCTGACTTACAATCAGTTAAAAAACCTTACAAACGAATATAATAATATCAGTCTTAATTAATCTTATTCTTATCTGCATAAAGACTAGTATTATTAGTCACTAGAGAGTAATCAATTCTTGCTGTACTTTTCTATAAGTACACAGTAATCATTACTGGGATGCTCAGGGCCTCCCCTGAGGTTGCCCTCTACTCCTTATCCCTTATTTTCCTTGTGCTTTCATACAGCAGGATGCTAAATAATGCTCACCAATGTGCAATAAATTGTAAATAAATAAAACAGTTGATGGTGCAGGCTATCCCTGAAACTTCCCACCTATTATCGAGCGCAACGCATTTTTTGAAAATCTTTGAAACCGCTCGACCGATTGACTTGATAATCTAATCAGCTCGAAGTATCAATTCACATTTTCGTCGGCCATCTCGATAGGTTGATTCGTTCTAAAGATATTATCGTACGACATAATTTTATTTACACACACACACACACACGCACGCACGCACGCAAGCACGCAAGCACGCACGCACGCACGCCCTCAAAAACTCGCATTCTCAAAATCTGACCGAAATCTATTTTCCTACATTTGAAAATTATTAATTTTTAAAATGGAAAATTAAAAAAACGTTTATAATATCATAACTTTTAACACTTTTTTTATAGAATCACAAAACAAATTACCTTATACTGACCCATGTGTATTCCCTCATTTCCAAGACTTTGCAAATTTTCAGCCCACACCATATACCCAAACCATTACAAACTAATACATCTAATATAAGTGAATCCCACCAACACTCTAAAAAGTTGGGTAACAAATGAGCAAAAGCTATTTCAGTGATTTCCCACATTATAGAAATAGCCCATAATAAGCCTGTATGTCTGAAAAGTATTGCTTTAAATGTCCAGCCTAAAAAATGACCCCAGGCAAAAACATCCACATGAGACCAAACTTTTGCAAAGGAAATATCAGAGCAATTAACTGCATATTCCTGGAACAAACAAATATTTGTTTAATTTTTATAAAAAGTAAAAATAAAACAAATACACAAGTAATTCATAATCTATTGCTTAATTCATCTTTAATTATTACTCCTACCTTATCCATGTCAATGTGGAAGTTACGAAGATTTGGATCAATCCAATACATTACTTCATAAACAGTGGAATGACTTTGAAAAAGCAGAAATAATAATGCAAGTAGATAAAGCACAGATGCTCCAAATACAATTCTCCAAACTGCAGGATGCGGTCTTGTAAAGGGTCCATTAGGAAAAGTAAGTACTGACACAATAAGGAAAAAAAATACTACACAGCAAATCCCAGCCCAGATATTGTCTTGAATACTTGATTCATCTCTAGAACAGAAAATATGAGACAAATGGTAATATCATTTAATAACTGTAATTCATATCTGAAAATTTAAATACATTAATATGTATTACAATAAATTCATAAAAATCTTTTACTTTAAAGAAAATCAAAATCATCTAGAAAGGTCCATGCACAATAATATACAAAAATTATTATAGTCTTTAAGAATAAATGGATTATTTTAAAAATATATACTAATATAATTTACAGGTCTGGTTGAAATTTACATGTATGTAGGACTACTGAGAAAGTAGAGCCGTGATAGCTCTCATATAAAATTCACAGTATCCAGTAACCTATGTTCAATCCTCAACTGTATCAAAGAAAATTTTAATTGCAATTTAAAGTGCTAAGGGCTTGTTTACGACATGCTCGGTGTTAAGGGAAAACATACTGAGTAGGTAACCTACACGTCTTAAGAATAAAATATTTCAAGAATATGTGAAGTTCACTTAAACATACTGAAGCAGCATAGTGAACTAATTACTCCATAACCCTCTCAGAAATGAGAAGAGACCTGGTGTACAGCAGTGGGATATACGAGGGGCAGCTAAGAAGGTTTGAGCCTAAAAGTACCTTCAAGTGTCATTATTGTCTGGGACTGAAATTAATTGGTGAATACCCTCCTTAGTATATGAGGGTATTCATTTGACACCGTAAAACATTGGAGGCAGGGGGTCACTATAAGATGAACCCAGGTCAGGATGGCCAAACACTGACGTTAACAAAGAAAATATTTAAGAAACTTATTCTAGAAGACTGGCAAATCAAATTGTGGCTGATAGCTGAAGCCATAGGCATTAGGAAAGAATCGGCCATATTTTGCACTCATTTTCACATGCAAAATGTATGCACACAATGGGTGCCAAAAATATTTACTCCGTTGGACAAAGAGCGTCGAGTCGCAACTTCACAGGAGTTTTTGGACATCTGTGGCAATAATTGTTATTTCTCGCACTGTTGATGAAACATGGATCCAGCAGTACGATTCAGAGTCAAAACAAGAGTCAATGTAGTGGATTGAAAAGGGAGAAAAGCAGCCATGGAAATTCAAAGTGGAGCGATCGGCATCCAAGCTCATGGCCACTGTTTTTTGAGATTGTGAAGGAATTTTATTAATTGACTACCTTCCTAAGAATAGTACAATGAACGGAGACTATTCCGCTGCATTGTTGACAAAAGAACGCCAAATGGTTGTCAAAAAAGAAGAGACGAACTGGCAAAAGGATTTCTGTCTTTACAGGATAATGCACCTGTGGACACTGCATGAATTGCAAGGCGTGCCATGAACAAAACTGGATTTTAAGAAATCAACCACCCACCATAGAGTCCAGAACTATCTCCCAGCGATTTTTACTTATTTTCAAATTTGAAGAAAGACCTACAAGGACAAAGAAATTAAGGCTGCGGTAGATGAGCCCTTCGAAGGAAAAGATGGCAAATATTTTTTCATTGGCTTAAAAGCCCTTAATCACATATGTAAGAAGTGCATTGAAGTAGAGGGAGATTACATAGAAAAATAAATTTTGTATACATTTCTATCAAAAATTTTAATACCCTAGGCTCAAAACTTTTCCACTGCCCCTTGTATATAGGCACTAACTTAATTTTACTGTGAAAGTATATTTCATCACTAAAACTGATTTATTAAATTGTACACATCATGTAGGTATTAAAAAACAATTAGGTACAATATCCTAAAATAATGGCAAGGATTACGAAATAATCATTTATAATTCTTTCATTTACTCAGCTAAGCAGCATTCAGGAAATACTATCTTCTTGTCACTTGTCACTACAACTCAAAACTTAAAAACAAGATAGTAAAATCAGAGCGTGTTGTATCTGAGAAGTAGTCTTTCACTGCTGGCCATTTGAAGATGCTCAAGGCCACACAGAGCTATGGAGAGGGCTATGCTAACAGTCCCTCCATGGGATAGATTTAAAAGTGAGGATATCCATAGTAAACCAGAGTATTGAACATAGCTCAAATGATTATAAGTAGCTAAAGTAGTAGTGCGCCGGCCATATAGCTCAAAGGATGGACAATCGGTGGGGAAGAAAGGTTCACTAGTGGCAGCCTCATACCCTTACATAAGCAATATGTCAATGTGTAGGGACAAATAGATGGAGTGACCGGCAACAGCAGTCAGAAACGGACGCTCTAGGCGAGTTTATCGACCAAAATGGCGATATATTGAAAATGGGCCAAATTAAGAGTACCCTTAACCAACGAGCATGCGTATATGGATGTGGAAGAGGCAAGAGAGGTGTGTCAGGATCGTGCCAAATGGAAGTCCGTAGTCTCTGCCTACGGCTCTGGGTGACAGACGTGAGTGTTTATGGTATGTTTATGCAACATACAACTTTACCTTACAAATGCCGTGTAAATAACTGTTGCAATTGATACAGCTAAAAGGGTTATGGTATGCGGCTTGTAAAAAAATTCCAAAGATATATCATCCACTGGCCGTTCGTTAATATAGCTAAAAGCATCCACGTAATCATTCGACGTCAAGCTATTACCACCATCCATTGTCATCGTTTTGGCCTTTTTCATAGTAGATAAATCTTTTCAGTCAAGCTATGAAAGAAAATATAATTGTATGCACGATACTGGTTCTAAGCTGTAGTGGTACATATTATATAAAAAGTAAACAATGAATTTGTATCTGTAATAATCTCTGCCGCACGTAATTTTAAAATGAAGTCAATCAACAGTTTTAACTATACTTTTTAATATAACCATAAAATTTATAAATTAATAAATTTAACATTTAAGACGATAAGGCCCACAGACCAAAGATTTTTTTAATAACTGGCTTTACAGCTCTGGGTTCTAGCCCTTCTGAGCCTGTAGTTAAAATGTATAATTATCCTTCATAGTACACTGCTTCACAATAATATGTTGATGCGTCACATTGTGCAGTCCTTGGGAGATTTTGATGGCAACTTGAGCCAGCAGACAGCTGACAGTTGGCGATAAGCAGACAGACACCTCATTTTGAGAATGACATCACCATCAGAGCACTTGTTTCACTGTTTCCACTAATAGTTCACATGCGCAGATATTTAATACACAAAATCATACCACTTTTACATTTCAAAATCCACTTCAAACTATTACTTAAACAATAATACAGGAGCAGCAATCCGTCGCCGGTCAAGTTCCCGCCAAAACCCACGGACCAAAGAGTAACGTAACTGCCACAGACTAACCAAAAAGTAAATTAATATATAAACTAGTAGATTTCCTGTATAGGACAGTTACTATACTCTTTGCTAGTAGATTCTACCGAAACCAAAGGCCTGCCTGGCCCAAAAAGTAGAAAGTACTCTGCTCATAAATATAGTATACCAAAGAGAATATAATAGTATACGTAAGTATCATATTAGTCTGTGGTATTAAGCTTCGGCCAAACGAGGCGACAGCAGGTTTTATAAAACATATAATAATAATAATTTTTTTTTTTAATTTATTGATCCACCAACATTTGTATCATTCCTTACATGCTATTTAAATACAATGAACCAATAAGAACTAAAATGTACAAATAATTACAGGCGGATACCACATGCTAATAACTATCTCAGCACTGTAACTTTATTTCTAGGGTAAAAAAAATAATAATGATATACAGTAATAAAAATACATAGAGCGAAAAGAAAAGAAAATGTTTTATAGAATATTACAAGAAATGGTCTCTTTATGTGCGACGGAGCTTGTTAGGAGGGTCGAAAAATATATCGATTGTTTCGCTAAATTTGTTAACAACTTTACTCATTCTCGCAATTGGGGAATTGGAGCCAAACACTGTTCTACGATGTGGTCTAGTCAACGGTGTAATCTTACGAGCAAAACGCGGATAGCGATAGGGAACGCACAAATTAAATTTACTTAAAATTTCGGGACAGTCAATAACACCATTAATAATTTTCGAAGCAAAAATTAAATCAATAATATCCCTGCGGTTTTCTAGAGAAATCATTTTGAAATAGACCAAGTTATTTTCATATGATACACGCTTCTTATAACTTCTAAACCCACGCGCGTAAGACAAATGTCTTATGAATCTTTTTTGGATCCGCTCGATTCTCAGTGAATGTGTAGCATAATGAGGTCTCCAGACTACAGCACAGTATTCTAATATACTTCTTACCAAACTGTTAAACAATAGAATTTTAATTTTAGAGCTTCGAAAAACTTTGATATTTCTTATTACAAAACCCATCATCCTAGATGCACGCTTAGTAATGTTTTCAATGTGAGGCACAAAAGTTAATTTTTTATCGATAACAACCCCTAGGTCTCTAATTTGGTCTAACTGCTGTATATTATTATCTCCAATGTGATAGCTATAATCGATGGTATTACTTTTTCTCGCATATTGCACATAAAGACATTTACTAATGTTTAAGTCCATTCGATTTACTTTGCACCATTCCACCAATTGATCCAAATCATTTTGTAGCTTCACTGAATCATTCTCTTCCGTTATCATCTTGCAAATTTTTAAGTCATCCGCATACAAGTACGCACAAGAACTTTTCATCAATTCTGGTATTTCATTAACGAACACTCCAAACAGGATCGGTCCGAGATGTGACCCTTGGGGCACACCAGAATGAATGTTTTTCAAGCCTGACTGATATCCATTCACTACTACAAAAAACGCTCGGTCATTTAAATATGATTTTAGCCAATTCAACAAACTACCAGTAATACCATAGGCAGCTAACTTTCGAATCAATATATCATGTGGGACCCAATCAAACGCTTTGCTAAAATCGGTATATATTACGTCGACTTGTTTTCCCGCATCAAGCGCTTCAATTAGTGTTTCCGTAATATGTACCAAGTTAGTACTCGTGGACCTAGCTTTAACGAAACCATGTTGGCTAGTGGTTAAGTAAAGATTGATATGTCTCTTAATAAAAGGACAAATTATTGACTCAAATAATTTAGCGAAGACTGATAGTATAGAGATCGGTCTGTAATTTTTTACATAATCCGCACTACCCGCTTTATGAACCGGAACGATTTTAGCTATTTTCCATTCTGTAGGAAACTGCCCAGTACAAAGAGAAAGATTGAAAATAATTAAAAGTGGGTTAACAAGATGTTCAGCACATCTGACTACGAACACTGGAGGTATTCCGTCAGGACCTGCCCCTTTGTTACAATTGATGGCTTTTAGTTTATTTAATAGGGTATCATGATTAATTGTCAGCTTTGCTAAGTGAAGGCTATTAATTTCTATTGATTTCAAAGACTCTGAATGGTCATAAACATAATCCTGCTCAGTACATTCAGTATTCTCAGAGTACACGGATGAAAAGTGTGAAGAGAAAAGTTCGCAAGTTTCCACTCCATCAGAAGTTACTGTCATTCCGTCAGTCATTGCGAGGGGATAGGCGCTTGAACCACCACGTTTCGCCTTAACAAAGGACCAAAATAGTTTTGGGTTTTTTGCTATGTCACTCTCTATTAGCTTTATATACCTATTGTAGCAATTTGTGGCCATATGTGTACACCTTTTACTCAGCAATTGCAGTTCAAGCTCATCTCTGGGATTTTTATATTTTTTGTGACGGCACCTAATTTTATACTTATCTTTTAGCGTTCTAATTAGATTCCGATCAAACCAAGGTGGGTAGTTGTTATTTTTTGACGATTTATTGGGGACAAATTTAATAATAACATCTCGAATTTTCTGGTAGAAAATTTGTATCATATCATTTACATCTGTCAACCCGTCAAGCAGTTTTACCCAATCACAACTCTCTAATTCTTTACAAATACTATCATAGTCAGCTCTGTAGAAATTTAATTGTACGTTTTCAATATTGTAAGGTAATCTAATGTCATTCAATAGCTTAACATTTATGTCAAGGGGAGGATGGTGCCTATCAACTTTACTGAGAGGACAAAGTGCCTGTTCCACTGTACAGTTAGGTAAATTTGAAATAACCAAATCAAGTGTTCTATTTAAATTCTTATTTTTTATACGATTGTACTGTTTCAAATCATTAACATTTAAAAAATCAACAAATGACTGACTAACAGTGGAAAGCTCACATTTTGCAGTATCCTCATCTAACAAGCTCCAATTTATGGAAAATAGATTAAAATCACCTACTATACAATGCAGGCACTGTTCTTCCAGGACGCTAGTACAAGTATCATAAAATTTATCATAAGTTACACTTTTTACAGGAGATGGTAAATAAATGGCACAGAAGGCAATTTGATCAATTGACTGTGATGCTGGTGCATCGACTAAAACCCAAAGATCTTCCAGATCCGACTCCCAAGCGTTCATACTAATAATAGTATTCTAATTTCATAATAATAATAGTAATAATAATAATAATAATAACAACAAGACAAACAACTATCGGTGATACATCCTAAGGGATGGCACCGTCGACATTTGTCGAGCTTGTCGCCATCCTGGTGAATCACTTAGGCATGTCATCTCCGGTTGTTCGGCGCTTTCTAACTCTGAGTACTTGCATAGGCACAACCTAGTAGCCAGGATTCTACACCAGGAGCTCGGTCTGAATTACGGTCTCGTGTATCGTAAACTGCCTTATTATAAGTACATGCCGGAAGCCGTGCTCGAAAATGATCGCGCCAGGCTCTACTGGGATCGGGCCATCATCACAGACAGGACCATTCTTGCGAATAAGCCTGATATTGTGCTGATGGACCGGGCACAGTCAAGGATATTTTTGGTCGACATTACCATTCCGTATGACGAGAACCTCGTGAAAGCCGAAACAGATAAGCGAACAAAATATCTGGACCTGGCTCACGAGGTGACCGACATGTGGGGTGGACTGCCGGCCGAAATTATACCTGTAGTCGTTTCTGCGAACAGGTTAATCCCAGTCAGCCTCTCGGGTCATCTGAGGCGACTAGGACTCCGTGACGGACCGCTCCAAGCTCAAATGCAGAAGGCGGTGCTCCTCGATACCGCCTGCATCGTCCGCCGGTTTCTTTCCCTTTCCCCCTAACCCTCGGCCGTTTGGTCTCCCCTGCCGAGGGCTTCCATCTGGTTGGGTTTTTATTTATTTATGTATTTTTTATGCATTTATTTTATTTTGTTGATATTTATGTATGTTTATCATTTTCATTTACAATTATATATTTATACAGCCCAACCAGATGAGTAAACTATATAGATGCCCCAAATAATAATAATTTATTTTATTTTCTCACCACAATTCAGAATTATTGTACATAATATTATAGTATAACCTCAATAATATACTGTGGGAGACTGGTGCCTAAGGTAGGCTTTACGACTGTATTTCAGGACGCCAGGTCTCCGCCCTATGGTTGTAATTACAATACTTGTATTATGCACTCGTACATGTACCATATTTATAATTTACATAATATCTCCTTTCATTTACTTAGGATTCTAGATATATTAAAAAGTGGTGCTAGTATTAAAGTGGAAACAGAATATTTCACATTTTCAACTCTATAGCTACGGATTTAAGAAGGCCTTAAATGCAAACAATGTTGAAAATTTTGTATCTGAATGTGACAAAGTGTGTGAATATATTAAAAAATTAAAATACAACAACCAAGTTTTGATGAAAACTTGGTTTTATTGTTTTTTTGGCGAACACAATAGCTTTAAAGTGGCTATTAACTATTAATTATAAAGCATCTTGAATTTACATTTCGAAAGCACTATCGGCTTCAACACCCTCGAAAACCATGAAAATGACACCCATGATGAAAAAATTTATACCTTTTGCAGCCGCCACCTTGGATT